TGGTCTTTTCTTCCTCTTCTGTCTTTGTAATGACCGTTTACACTCTTCCTGAATGATATCTTTGACATCCTCCCACAACTCATCTGGTCTTCACTCATTAGTGTTCAAGGCCTCAAACCTGTTCCTGAGATGATTCTGAAATTCAGGTGGTATGAAATAAAAAAAATGTGATCTGTGATATACTTAAAGATAAATGCTTTCTGTAGTCAATGCTAAAGCTGAGATGCATTTTTGATGGTATATTACAGCTCCACTCTTGCTCCAATTCTATTAAACATTTTTGTCACTGATTTATATGAAAGAATGAGAGGGATGATTAATGTGCTGTATGATAAACTAAAAAGCCTAAAGGGTCTTAGGATGGAAAATGATAAAATTTTACCAAAACTCACTTGATAAAATTTAACAGAAAAATATAAAGTCACTCCTTTACATTTAAAATATCTAATAGCCCAGAACAGGTGCCACTTACTATTTTTTTGTTTTGTTTTACTTGGTTTTGTTTTTTTAAAAGTGAGTGGGCTATTGTTTATTATAAACAAAAAGTGAATCTAGGAAGACTAATGGAATCTTCAGCATAAACAGAAATGCAATTTCTATATTAAAAAGAGATAATAATTTTATTATTACTGATATAACCAGATATTCTAAAATAGAATACTGTTTTCATATCTGAATGCAACAATTTAAGAGAAAGGCAAGAAAAAAAGAAACAAGTGAATGACCTTTGTGTTGCAGTAGGAAGAGTATAAACCAGGGATAATTAATCTTCAGTGCAGCAAGTTTAGAGGCTAGATAATGGCTAAAGGGCTTTCACATGAAACAGAACTAATTCTGAGAAGCTCCACGGGACTAAATCTGGAACGGTGAATGGAAGCTACAGTGCTTCACATTTCACACACTCTAACCCCAGATCTAAGAATGTAATCCCTCCAAGTCACAGACTTAACATGTTTCATTCCCTGAGAGGGGAGAAATGTCCTTATTAAAACTTAAACAAGTTTGTGAGGTTCTTAGTCGTTGGTACAGAAGAGAGATCAGTATGTAGATAACAAATTACCAAAATTTTTCTATACTATTTTTTTTCAAGATAGAGCCTCGATGAAGCAGGCAAATTACATGCTGTTTCACTGCCAACCAAAATGGCACACATGTTCAATAGTCTGAGCCTAACAGCAGCACCCCAGGAGAAAGATGGGCAGCCAACTAGCGAGATGACTCAGTAAAACTGAGACTGACAGCCCCGGGAAGCACAAAAGAGGATCTTTATGAGTTGGCTACCACTCTACAACAGTGGGATTTTAGTTTATCTTTTTGAGACAGAATGGAGACTGTTCCACATGAGGACATGACTATGCAAGTGAGGAGTCTGAAACACAAATTGGACAATATATTTAAATTGATTCTTATAACGACCCTACTGTTGCTGAGTGCCACTGCATCAAGTGTGACTCACATTGATTCCATGAACAACAGATGTGAACTCTGTCCTATTCTGCACTATTATCATCATCTCTGACACACTGGAATCCACTACTGTCGTCACTGAGTCAACCCATCTTATGCAGGTTCTTCCTCTCCTTCACTGAAACTTTCACAGCATCATGCACCTTTGAAGAAATAGCCCATTCTAACAATATGCCTACAGAACTTTGCTGTCAGTTTGCTGTACTGGGGCAACTTGTAAGGTTCTGTGATGCTGAAAGCTATGACCTTCATGTGTCAAATGCCAGAAGGGTCAGCTGTGGTGGACAAGTTTTAGTGGAGTTCCCAGATTAAGACAGACTAGGAAGCAGGATTTGGCCATCCACTTCTTAAACGGCAGGCCTCTGAAAAAACCTATGCACAATAGAGGAACATGGATTGTTACCGGAAGTCATTAAAAAAGAGCAGAAACAGTTGCAAACATCCTTTAATAGTTGGAACACTGGAACTTGGAAACAGTTGTAAGCATGAAGATTGGAAAATTGGAAGTTGCGAAAAATGAAATACAATGCATGAATATCAAGTCTAGTGAGGTGAGATAGACTGGCACTGGCCACTTTGAATCAGACAATCACAAGGTATACTAGACTGGGAATGAAAAACAAATGAAGAATGGTGTTGCATTCATAGTTAAAAAGATAATTTCAAGTTTTATCTGAAGTACAATGTTCTGAGTGATAGAATATTATCTATATGCATATAAGGAAGACCTGTTAACATGACAACTTTTCAAATGTATGTAGCAACAGCAAAAGCCAAAGAGGAGGAAACGGAATACTTTTATTAAATTTTGCAGTCTGAAACTGAAC